AGCCCCAGTCACAGTGGCAGAGCTCTGGCAATGGTGGGGAGTTCTTACAATGGCTGTGTTGAGTTAATGTATGGATGTTTCACAGGGCAGGCGCTATGGCAGAAAAGGCTCTTCTTGGGTCCCGTCAGATGACACTTTTGTAGACAGGACCCATAACATGCCATTCCTACCTGTCCTGATGGGACATTGCTTTAATGATACTGGCTGCTGTGGGTACTTGAACATGAAGCACAAATATTTGCAACGACAAAGCTTTTACAGCGTGAGTTTCTATTAAAAGTATAAAAGTATTTGTATTAAAAGTATAAAAATATTACCGTATATATTTGTGGATAAACCTAACCTAATTTTTTGGATGTATTTTGGTACCTAAAATTCTCAGCTTATCTGCAAGTATATATGGTATGTGTAATATCAGGCAGTATTAGCTGTTACATTGATTTAATGTATTTCATCTCAAAGAGCTGTGTTCTCACAACATAGTAATTTTGATTGACTTTAACTCTGTTAGTTTTGTTGTTTAGCATGTTAAGTTATCCCAGCTAGTGTTATCAGTTAATGATTCAGTATGTTCTGTGAAGGCAGAAAATGTGGTTGGTTCTGTAAAATTAACTAAACTGAGCTTCGTTACTGTATCGCTGTAGCATGTTGGACTTTATTCTTTGTGCTATGCTCCTGAAAGAGATCGTGGGAAGGTTAAGGCCATAGCAACTCATTTCTTTCCATTTTGGGCAGCCAAAGATGCAAGATTAACTGAAGCATGAAAGCTTTAGGCAGTCACTGCAATAGAAAGCAGTTCAACCGGAAAAGTAAAATGGTTTGGGGTTTAGAATTCCAGCAGAACTGCAGATAAAAAGCATGAATTATTTTCCGGGAGGCTGTGTTCACATAACACATACTTCTGGTTTGCTTAAGGATGGCTTATTGACTAAACCACAATATGGGTCTGTACAATATGCTGTGCTTAACAAGGTTTCCCTGGTTTTCATTTAGGGTTATTATGTGAGCATAGCCATGGGATGATGATGATGATGATGATGATGATGATGATGATGATGATGATATAAGGATAACTACGTGGCATGGATCCAGGTTACCTGAGGGACCGCCTCACCTCCATTACATCAACCTGTTCCACCAGATCAGGCAGAGGGGGCATGTTGTGGACCCCATCAGCAGGAGAAAGTTGGCGGGCAGGGCCCTGGAGGAGCCTTCTCTGCCGTGGCCCCCGCCCTTTGGAATATTCTCCTCCCAGAGGTGCAGCGGGCCCTTACCCTCTTGGTTTTCCGGAAAAGACTTAAGACCTGGCTCTGCCAGCTTGCATGGGGCAATAAGAGTTTTAATCAATCCTGAGGGTGGCTGGCGCCCTGATGTCACTCCCTGAGTTATTTGCCAATTCCATCATTCTTGGA